TCAACGCATCATGATAATTGCTCCACTCTTAGCAGGGGGGCTATGAATAAACATTGCTTCTATCATCCCAACACTCAATTTCCAATTAATTTACACGAAATATGGACAATCTCTAGGCTTAATCACTATGTTTTATTTTAGCAATTTCCCCCAAGTCTTTTCTCATTTGGCCCTTTCATTCAGCCTGATTTCTCTCTCTCCTCTCTTGCTGCTCAGAAAATCCTGTTAATCTCCGCCTGCAGTTTTGAACAAAAGCTATGAGCCTAAACAATTGATCCAGGCATCGATCCCACCAGCTTGAACGATCATAAAGGTGTTAAATTGGTTTCTTGGAGGATATGTATTTTTCATTACAGGCTGAATGCAAGTTGGAATTCGCATGTTGAAATTTTTTGAGGTTTGCGATCTTTTTAAAACTAACTTTTTGAAATATTTATAAGACTACATTTTGAAAAATAGAAGTCTTAAATGTAGAGTTTGAAGTGATTTCTGGGGAGTGCATTTTCAGGATTGGGGAGAATCTTGGAAGCTAAATCCTGGTAATAAGTTTTGTGCTGTCCAAGGACGGTGTCTGAAAGCGTTTGTCCATCTTGGAATCCAATTCACTTTTTTGCGATTGTATGATTCAGTATTCTTTGTAAATGTTATTTGTGGGTTTAGAATGGCTTAACGCTTCTTTTTGTTACACCTAAAAACCTTATCCAATGACAAAAATTCACTAACCAAGTAATACATGCTGACAATGTGCCAGACCTGAGCATGGACAAATAGAGTATTGTGTTAGGAAAGGCATCTGGTTTAAATCCCATGCATCTAAAGGTATTCAGTGGCTCTTATACCATATATTAACAAATTAATAAAGATATTATTTTGATACCTAGATTGTTTTATTGCTCCCTATTTATTGCATCAACTAGAATTAGTTGAGCTGTCAGTCACCTTATCTACATTTTCCATGCCAGTGACCAGATAAGGACAAAGTAGAATAAATGGCTTCTTTTATAGCCACAGTGAAGTTCAACAAACTTCCTGTCTGAACTTTGTCATCTCATATTCGAAAACAAAACAAATGTTAATAGATAATAATCAGCTACTGGCACTTGGCCAATATTTTGCTTACTTCAGTGGTACAGAAGCTCTCTGAACTCTGCTTCCAGATGAAGTTAGCGCTGGTCATTGGGTTCATATAGCTTTGGGAACATAAAATACAACTGTAAAATTATTTTATTAAAACAACTTGACAAAAAACATTTCAGAAATCAATATTTGTTGGAGTAGCTCTAAAGTCTACATCCTCATAATTTCAGGCACACAATTAAAAATGCAAATTATACATTTGCTTCAAAATCCATAAGACTTTCATGCTGTAGTCGCCTTGTTGCAGACTTACAGAGACTTGGCTGACATAGCAACTACGGCCTCCCTGTCAACTAAAAAAAAATACTCGGAATGAGATGGGTGAAGTGTATTGCTCAAAGGCACAGTGATAGTATCTGGTAACTTTCAAGATACATAAACCTTTCCCACTTGCAAAGCTTCCATAATGACATGTGATTCTTGTTAGATTCTGAAAAAGATAAAAAAAACATGAAAAAAAAAAAAAAAGAAAAAAAGAAAAGATCATGTGGCAGAGTAAAGGAAAATCTTGTCAGAGAAACAGTCACCCGTGCTTATAAGGTCATGAGTCCCAACCCTGGTCTGGCCCTATATACCGCCTGTCTGTCACCCTCGCCCCCCACCCTCTATTCATCCTCCTCTTCCATGCTGGGTGTCCTATACTCTCCATGGAGCCGCTAACTCCCCCTTCTTTGATGACCTGGGACACTTGTCAAAGAAGAGCTTCCAGGCAGGCACAGTCAGGACAGCCCTTTGATGAGGACCCCGACACTTGAAGTCTCGGTGGATCGGGGAGGGGGCTGTTTTAAGACATAGAGCGTGGTGAAATCTCTCCTTTGGCACATTCGCTCCCTGCCTTCTGATGATTTTAATGAACGAATTTGAATTTGCTTAAGATGCCCGACAGAAAACAGATGTACATATGTAAGAGAAAGTGTGGACATGACAGAAGCGTCCTTGTTACTGTCAGAAAACCCAAACGCACCCACTTTGTTGTGTTTTGTCACTTGTCCTGTTTGATTAAAGTGTTGTGTAACATTTGAAGATGTCACTGGGTTCATATCATATCAGGGATTTCTTTGTGTGGATTTGGCTATGTGACTTCGGGCAGCCAATATTGAAATTTCTAATCTTGCTTGATCTTCACAAGACTTTAGATTCTGTACTTTGCCTGTATTAAGCTGTTATTAAGTACTAGTGTAATGTATTTTATTATATATTTTTTAAATATTTGTGCTTTTATTTATTTACTATTATCTCCATTATATTATTTCTTTTATGAATTTATTTTAGTCTTAGTTTTTGCAGCGATGGGATGTTTCTGTACAATTTCCAGTAACTGAAAATCCAATGCACATGCCCTTAGTTGTTTAATGTTACTGTAATTTTTGTATCATGACATAATTTTTGCATATAGATTACATTGTTTTATTATATTTGTGTATTCATTATTTTGTATGTCTCAGGGACTGCAGATGGAAATGAGCTTTGAGAACTATAATCTGGTACAGAGCATTACTTTTCTTTGGTTAACGGACATTTGTTACACATTTACTTTTGTGAGTTTTAAGCCATGTTGTTACGTCAACGAAAACATATCTGGAGTTGTGTTTTGTTTCATTCACACTTGTCTGAGTAACCCTTAATTATTAATCTGTCTACAATTCCAAAGCTCAAAATGCTCTGTTCCACTTGGTGATGTCATATAGTGGTAGCTTTCAAGTTAACAGCTATATTTTTACATTTTGTTCAATAGAGACTGGACATTCCAGGGCTGAAATTGTCCAAATGATTCTAGCGAAGGTGTATGGGGTTTAAAAACACACTTCCGGTATGTATTACCACACGACATCACAAGGTGGAACAGAGTGTTTTCCGTTTGAGAGAAGAACTCAGCCTAAATATGCAGAATCTATGTGTTAAAATGAAACAAAATGCAACTCCAGGTATATTTTTGATCCGAAAACATTCTAACATAGGTCTGAAAATAGCATAATACATGGGCCCTGTAAAATAAACAAAATTAACTAAACTAGGTCTTAGTATTACAAGATAAAAACAGTGCCATGGCCAGCTCAGTTGTACACTATTAAGTTTTTATTCTGTTTATATTTCATTTATTTGTTTATATTTTTCAACACTGATACACATTTCTCTCTCTACACCGTTCACTCTATTATGTCTGGCTTGAAAAGACACTTGGCTGCTTGGTTCTTGTCACAGTCATAACAGTTATAATCACCCTGAGATAGACACTTCTACACTAAATAAACAATATAGCGCTTTTAGTATTAGCACAATTCTCTTTTTTCTTTACAAATGGCTTTCTATTCAGCCTCACAGACCTCATTCTGGTCCGGTTTGTGCTGCACCTGCCTCTGTCACAGCCATATTGATCTGCATTCTTGCCCTGTTGTTGACTTTGGTGTTGGACATAAGTTCTCACACAGTCACAGCAACAAAGTCATGCACAACACCCACACAGTCTCCCAGGAATCGCTTCATTCCCAGCAACATCACACAAGAGCACTGACTGGGACATCTCACACATTTTCCTCATTCTTTCTATCTCAATGTGGGCTCTTTGTCTTGGCTAATGATTTATAAAGCTGGGCATGGGAAGAGAGAGTTAGTTACAATAGAGCAGGTTGTTTTGCTGTGTCTGACCTGAATCTTCCCATGCACACCTGTGAGCCAAAGTTTAGTTTTCAAATCTGTGAAAATAATGTGCGACTTAATCACTGTGCTAATCTAAAGCGGTGGTCCTGATGGGCAAAAAGATACAAAGGTGTCACTGTTAAATCGGGCAGGTGTAGTCAGGTGTTAAGCTGTAGAAAACTGTTCACATGAGAAGGGTAGAGAGGACAGCGGACTTGTACAGGCGCTTTGTGTGAGCTGTAAAAACAATGCCCATGGTGCAGTGCTGATCAATAGTTATTGACCTGTCAGCAAGCTTATAGTGGTAACTGCTTCTACTTAAATCAGATGGGTCAATAATTCTTTTAGAAGCATTTTCAAAATTCAAATTTTAAAACAACATGAAAAACTTTTTACATGTAAATGTATCAGCTGTAGTGAAGGTGGTGGAGGGTTCCCGCTTATCTCTATGAAAATGTTGCTTTGATTGCTCTACTGTATTAGATTAGATTGTTATTGTCATTGTACATAATAGAATGAAACTTCCATATAGCAAAACTGCAGCAGTAAAAAATGAATAAATATAAACACATCCATCTATATCTCACACCCATACCAATAAAAACATTCAATAAATAAACAGATGATTGCACTGAGTCCCTTCAAGCCTTTTATCAGTGCCTGTGCTCCTGGAGAACGTCCACTGCTCATGGGTAGAAGTTGCTGCACACCCTGTTTGTGCGTGTGAGAGGAGTTTGAAGCCTTTCCAAGGGGAAAGTGACAATAAAGTTATCATGGAGACAAGGTGCCAGCAGGCCAAGTTACAAGTCAGATCTGTGGACAGGCAAGCCAGTCACCCTTGCAAGGAAATAACCCTGTCTCCTCTTTCAATCACTAGTGCTAATTCAGTAAATAAGCACATTGTAAATGTTTGGACATTATTAAAGACATTTTAAAAACTTGCTCCAAGCTCCCATTGCATCCCCAAGCAAGAAACTTCCCCAGTATACAAATCTGCCAAATCATTTTCACTCTGGTACCTCCAAGCAAAAGATTAAAATAATGATTAAAATGATTAAAATAAAGATTAAAATGGTAAATAAGTGCAATTATTTTTTTGTTGTAAAATTAGTGCTCCAAATGTTACCACATTACCAAACCAAGTTTTCTGTCAAATTTTGCATTGCTGATGAACTTTAGTGTCTTCCCTGCAATCCTAAACCACACATTTCTTTGTACTATTTCAGGTTGACGACCAGATGAAGCTACTGCAGAACTGCTGGAGTGAGCTGCTCATCCTGGACCACGTGTTCCGGCAGGTCGTACACGCCAAGGAGGGCTCCATCCTGCTGGTCACAGGGCAACAGGTAGGCCACTAAAACCCATATTTACCCACGCCCGCTCTCCTGTGGCTCTTAGCAGCTTGCAATCAATCTTAAACTCTTTCCTTTAAGCATTATTGATGACATCAGCCACACAGGAGGTCCCCTAATTCATTAAATATAGATCACGCTTATAGAAACTTATGCTGGTAAGACAAAGCAACGTGTTGTTTAAGAAAGTTTCCAATTGATTGTGTGGAATAAAGTGAAAAGGCAATTCGCGTTTAAGCTTACAGGTAGGAATCAACAACACAAAAATATTGCAAAAATGCCTTTCACCAGTGGCATGGCTGTCAGTCAGATGAGGAGTCATAAATTATTGATCGGATGTTGTACCAAAACATGCCCGGCAAAGTGTTATACAACAACAGATATTGGCATAAATATTGTACAAGACATGCAGTTGGAATATCAGAATTAGAGCAAGGTCAAAGATAGATTGTGGTAATATTGTGGATTAAGTCAGAAAAGTGAGAGAATATAGTAGGAAGGATGGATTTGGTGAGGCGTGGTGGGTTTAAGGACTAGGAGGGGATGAGGGAGGGAGGGGGGTGGAGTCAGGGGAGGTGGTTTGCATACTTTGTCTAATGAACAGCTGGTGCCGTGTGGAAATGTGTGTGTGTATGCGTGTGTGTGTGACGGAGCCCGCGAAACAGTTCATTATCTCCCATTATTTTCTGCCTGGCCAGGGGTGACAGGTAACGATAACACTGGGGATTTTATGAACAAGGTATTCTGCACCACCCCAAGCAAGATAAAATATTCTTCAGTGGGAGACTTTAAAATACATATCGCACATGTTTGAGTAACTGATAGTTGACTGAAGCAGCTTTTAAACACATTTTAATGGAAATGTGAGCGCAAAAAGTAACTCAAATTTGGGGAAAATATGAGACACAATAACTTGACAAAAGTAGAAACACAATCATATCTCTGTCCAAGTAACTGAATGGGGATTTAGTTTAGAATCCACATATTACTCGCAAACTAAGTGAAAAGTGGTAGGTAAGGCTCAGGTTCAGGTTTTCATTTATTTCATCTCCTTGTGGAGAAATTTGGAACGAAGCAGAGGTCAGTAGCATTAAAGTAGCTTACAGATATGACATAACAAAAAACAAAAAACATGTAGAACAAGACCATATACAATCACTCAGGCTCAACAGCACAATCAGATTTATGATCTGGGGTTTTTATATCTGTTATTTTTGCATAGAGGAACCCGGTATCTATTTATAAAACACTTGCTCATTAAAGCTTATCACTGTTATAATGTGTTTAAAGGCATCTATTGCTAACAATATTAAAGAACAGTTTTAATAGGACAAAAAACTGTATACTTGTAAAATATGGCCATGAAACAAAAAACTTAAATAAAGGAATAGATATCAATTAACACATGATACCAAGATTTATTTATTCATTTATTTTTTGATTCACAAGCAATTAACCGTGTATTTATTTCTCAAATTGCAAAAAATCTGAATACATTTGCAACTGGTGTTAATTTTCTCTTCAACAAAGTCCATTTGTTTACTTTGTTATCCCATCTACTTTCATTCTTGCTTCACATTGCTCTATACGCATCACTATGCAAATCCCACATAGAGAGATGACCATGAGGGCTTGGACAATAACTCAAACTTTAAACTGTCACATGATCAAACATTAACCGCCCATCATCCCTTACATACAAAATACAAAAATGACAAAAAAGGGTCTGGAAAGTGTTGAATGATTAAGCAAGGTCTCTGATGTTTTTGTGGCTAGAAATCTTGATATTTTGACACCACTCAAAGAAAAACATGAAATTCAAATCATGACGAAATGCAAAAATATTTCAGTCAATGCCCTCTCTCGCACAAAGCCGCCTTCACTTCAGATCGGGTCCACCACATCAGTCACTGTATTCATAATCACATATTTACTCTCTATGCCTCCCTGAGATGTATTATAAACCAGTATTGATTGATTGATACACAGGTCACTGAGGTTAGTGCTAAGTCTGCTAGTAAAGTCACATTACAGCTCTTTTTTTTCCAGCCTCTTTTTACTTAAGGCTTGGAAGCAATAACCTACGGCATCACCATCAAGAGTCCAATCCTTCAATGAAGTTATTTCATGCACAGTTGATTTTATGTAAATTGATTGACACCTGAGAAGAAAGGGTGGGTGTGGGGGGCGCTGGTGTCTGCGTCTCATTGTGCCATAACTCTAGTGCTGTCTGCAAAGTGGGAACGGGGAGGGGTCAAAACAGGGGTGTGTTAGAGCAGAGAGGGGAGACATCAGTAGTACAAGGAATATGTGCTAAAATCTCAAAAACAATGTACAACAAAGAAAAAAAGCTATCAAATTTAGATCTATTAAAAAGTAGTCTGGATCCACCACCAAAACCAACCAAATAAGTTTGAACAATGGCCTATTATGAAAATAAATACTGAAAAAAAATAAATGGTTTAAAAGGTTTAAATTTGGTTGTGCAAATAGTTTCAGATTTCAAGTGAAAAACGATTTTCATATTTTAAGTGGAATAATCATGTTCTGTTGGCACTCTACAGCTTAATAAATTGTTTCCAAGCAATTCTAACTGATATAACTGTTTTACACAGACTTCAGTTTTTTTTCACAGTGTCTTCAAAAGACCTACTTTGCATTTTACAATCATCTTGCTTGACTTTGTGCTATAAAGCCTACATATCCTTAAAAACATTGCCCTCTACACAATAATCAAATTCTAAATCCACACGTCTTTTTAATTGCAAATTTGAGCACGCCGGGGCTGCCTCTCTCCCTAAGCTTTAGCAGCCGCACGCGCCCCACTTCCACCTTCCCCTGAAACCCCAACCACAGTCAATTATGGTAATGAATTGTCAATAAATATAAAAATTTAATATTGTCCTGCTTACTGTGAGTGGCAGGTAAGGACTTGCCTCCCAGACAAATGTGCTGCTGCAGCAGTTAAGAGGAGCACCTGGAGTGTATGGTGTGTGTGTGTGTGTGTGTGCATGTGTGTGTAAGAGAGAGAGAGTCTGTCTGACTATAGCTGTCAGTCAGTCCATTTGAAGGTACAATAGACCTAGTTTGCATTACATTTTAAATTTAGTTTTTCATTGCCAGTTCTTTCATCTGCATGCTGTGTATGAGGTCCATACCTGACAGCTATTTATTCATGTTTGGAACTGGCAAAAATGTACTGAAAACTATTCTTGGTAGCATTATATTTCATAGCACATTCATAGCATAGTAATAAAAACTGTAACAGCACGGTAACTTAAAAGTATAATTGTGGTAATTATAGGATAATTACTCATGAAAAAATTACAGAACAATATGAAGGCTGCAAACACAGTTAGTTCTGTCTTGGTAATAGTGTTGAAAGAGACCTTAACCCTGAAAATGTAAAAGGATCATCATGTGCTAAAACATCCAGGCCAAAGTTTAGAACTAGTAATAACATGAAGTAAAATCACTCAAAGATCATATTTGAACAGTGCGTTTTTGGCATTGACTGGTTAAAGTCACTCACTGGTCCTCATATCTATTCCAGGTGGACTATGCAGTGATCGCGTCCCAAGCAGGAGCCACCCTCAACAACCTGCTGAGCCACGCCCAGGAGCTGGTCAGTAAACTGCGCTCGCTACAGCTCGACCAGCGGGAGTTCGTCTGCCTCAAGTTCCTCGTCCTCTTCAGTCTGGGTCAGTGCTTTCAAAACTCTCTGTCTCTCTCACATTAGTCATAGAATCCGCCACAACAGGAAGAACACATGGGGAAAATATCTGACCACTTTTACCTGAGTAACATTACAGAACTACATTATGCCCTGAGCTTTTGGCACAATAGGGATTATTTTAAAAGTATTCACTTACAATACATAAAGGTTTTGTTTGGTTGAAACACAATTTCTTTATAATTAATCAAGGGAAAGTGCTGCAGTGTTAATAAACACACCGAATACTGCCGAAAAGAAGAAGGCCAAATCCTCAGTAGCTCCTAAATCTTTTGCATTGTGATTATAAACGCTTCGTCTCCACCCAAATGTTTAACCCATAAAACACAGTCCCAGGCTAAAGATTTCAGAAAAATCCATCAAGTTATTCTAGGAAGTACTACATAGAGATCTCCTGATATAAACTAGATCAACTATGTGTATTATGTAATTTCCACTTAATGCATATTGGCTACTTTTTATTTGTATGTTCATTCAGACAGAACTTCATTGTGAATTAAAAAGACACAAATGAGACAAATGAGTTGAGAAAAATAGTACATAATAGTGATAATGTAAAACTAACCATTATGTTTCTAAATTGTCACCTAGCTATTCTCTTTAAGACAAATTACACCAGCTTCCTCAGAATAGTTTTTCCTCTTTTGTCAGTATTTGATGCCTCAAACTAAGCCTAGCGCATGAAACCATGTGGATATAAGTTATTCAAAGATGATTTTTTTCGCTCTCCCTCTCAAGCCTCAGAGGCCTGGAATGGAGGGAGCTAGAGGAGGGCGGGAGGAAGGAAGAGGAGGTAGACGCGGAGATGGGAAAAGGAAAGAGTGGACGAGGGTGGGAACTGGTGTAGGCTGCAGTGGAGAGCATTGGGCCTGACAGGGGAGGGGGGGGATTTAGGTGGAAGGGTCCAAATGAAGGGACGCAGGGAAGGTGAGAAGCCCGTTTCGGATCCCTCGGCTCCTTTGCTCTCTCTAAGCCGAGGTCAGACCCTACCAAGAGACTCTCGCCCATGTCTCGCTCCTAACTAGTGTGCGGCATGGGCCCTCCGAGGGTTAGCTTAGCATTTGAAGGGATGCTCGCTTGACATAGTCTGGTGTGTCAGCTACAACCCTGGCATACATTTCACATCACTTCCTCTCACCTGTTAAACCACTAGGGCTTGCCTCTCCCTCCCCTAAACATACAGCTAATGATCTGAACATAAAGATCAGGCAGAATTATTATAAAAGTGAAACAGCTTGCATGCATATGTGCTTGTTTATGAGGAGCTGGCCTTACGTGGTGGGGTGTAGACTTGGGTGCAGGGTCTAAATAATTTGACAGAAACATCATCCATAATGAAACGCTCACCTGAGGGATGTGTATCGCCCCCGGCAGTGCCTCTTCTCCACCGCAACCCGGCACTCCCACCAAAGCAGCCCCCACAAGCAGACGCCGGTAAGCAGGCTGTAAAGGATCAGAGGGGGATAAGGCGGCTGTGATTAGATGTGATTAATATGACTGCAACTGAGATACGAGTGTGTTCTTGTGGTGAGATGTGTTACCTGTATAGTTTATTTATTTAATGGATTCAGTGATGTGCATTCAGTGTGAGGCCATGACTGAACCTTCTGTCCCATTGGACTGGCGTAGCATACAAAATAGTTAGAAATATGTTTTCCCAGCTAATTGAAAAGCCGTACAAGCTTATTTAAAAGTTTTGTTTATAGATGTACTGTAAAACTTTTTGGTGGCAAGTCTATTAATGGTTGCTCTCCATGAAGATGTTATTTCTTTGTCTGGAATGTTCCTCAGTACAACATTAACTATCATTTAGTTCTGTTATACACTCCTTTGAGCTTGGTTACTTCTTCATGGACCTCATCACCTGCTTGTCTCCATGGAAATGAATAAGCTCAAAGCCATAACAGCTCCATGAACACAAGCAATATTTGTTATTGCTTATTACATCCCAATAACTACTTTGAAAAACACAGCAATTGTCGATTAACTCTTACTTGTATTTTGTATTTAACCACCACAAGTCTATGCGCAGAATCTAGATTCATATAACTAGAGAACTTTAATAGGTAAATGAGTACAGTGGTTTTATAGACCTGACTCTTGCACCGTCTTCAATCCAATATCCATCCTTTAGAGTGTGTTGATTTTTCACTATATTTCACCCTTCACCTAGACCCCCCTCTATCCATCCCTCATTCTCTCACTGTCTGTAAATGGACAATCAGTCACCCGGCCCTCTTGTGCTGGCCTCTTAGATAAGGCAGCTGCCGATAACACAGGGATAGACATGTCACTCCAGTTGAGGGGCTGCTCCTTGCCCATCTAGCTTGTTCTCACCATTAAATCCCTTTTTACATTTTTTTTCTCAGTGATTTTCTTGCCTTTTTCTTCCACCTTTCATTGATTTTTCCCACTGCATTCTTGTAGATTTTTCTTTTCAAATTGTGAGTGCGCAATAGTATAATGGAATACAATGGCATCTCTTGGAAAGACGGAAGGCGGCGTGGGTCAGAGTTCAGTTAAAGATGGGTGGTAGTTGTTTTCTGTTGTCAGGAGCTGTTAATGGGGCTTTGATTTCCTTTAAAAGGCTTAGAGACCTGAGAGAGCCACGACAGGCGGCCATATTTATTGTCAGGTGACAGGGCAGTGCAGAGGTAAGGACGGGGTCACAAGTTCAAATGCACAATATAGGAAGGAATGCATGAGCTGAGAAAGCATGCATTTATTTACCAAGAGAAAAATAAATAGTAATAGCACTGGCTAACTGTCATATAATACATGTAAATTGAGAAGGTCTTATTATATAATCTCTGGAAAATGTGGTACAAATTTATAAATGAATATATTTGGCTTATATAGTGCTTTTTGAAGTAATTTAATTTCCCATAAACACACTATGGAAGCTACAGAAGATGTGGCTACCAATCTGAATAATGCCTTCTATGATTACTATAAATCCACTCATACACCACCTATACTTAGATAGAGTGTCGTTTTTAAATGTACAAAAATAGACTAATCAGTACATATAGAAAACAATGTAATGTATTTTATAACAACTTTAACTATGTTTCAAAACTATCTAACTTTGTTTTGGTAAGGTGCTATATTGGGGTTGACACTGTGGTACTTCTAGCCTCCACAGTTGTCATGGGAGACAGAGCAGACACAGCAGTATGGTCCATGTGGTGACAGGAGGTCAGGGAGTGGTTTAGCCTCACTCCACCGCTCTCACACGCTCACACGTAATTGGCAGAGACAGGCGCTGCCAGTCCTCGTCAGCTCAGAGCACAACCAGAGAGGCAGCCAGGCCAGCCAGGGTGGTAAATGATCCCAGCGGACACAACACTTTTTGGGGGAGAACTGTAGTAATGCCTCCAATTTGAAGACTTTGTACCTGCTAAAGCAACAGAGAGCAGTTTAGTCATTCAATCCTACTTCAGTTAAACCAGAGCACTAAATTATCCAGGTCTTCATCTTCCCACCATTTTGTACTCAACCCTTGTCCCTATTACCACTTAAACTTCATTTATAGCTAGACAATTGATACAGCAGCTTATGTCATCAACATTCCCTAGAGGCTCCTTTCTGTTTGAGGCTCTGTTAGACTTTAATCTGAGCTTTATTTAATGTGAAATTGTGTTGTTTAAATCCATTTTGTATTTTTTCTTGAGTTTTCAGACTATCTTAAAAATAGTATGACAGTGTTTTCTAATGTGTCTGAACTTTCCACCACAGGGATACATGTAGAAAACCCCCAGAGTGATGTCACTGCAAAGTACTGATTGACATCTTTATCCATGTATGGTTATAGACCCTGGTTATTGCTTCTTTTTGAGAATGATTTTACTTTTTGAACTGAATTAAACAATTATTTATGGGCGGAGCACATTCTCTAACACCTGTATTAAGACTTTTTTTTTTAATTGACACTTTTCAGTTCTAAAATGTGCTACAAATTGAAACAGGACTACTTCAAATTCATAATGATTCACGGATCCATTTGCTCCACCATTCATTTTCTTGTCCTGATAAACCCTCCAGAATAGCGTAATTTCATGCACGACCAGGCCTCCCCCACCCGCTAACACCAGCACACGTGATCAACCTTGATAATCAAAGAGTCTTTTTTCCCTTCCTTACTTCATTCTTTCACGTAACTTCCATCATAAATTCTGGTGCACAATGTGAGAGAGAGGCACGTATTCCCAGACAGGTACGTTCTAATTAAGCGCTGGCTAAAGCTGCTCAGATCAATGCCCTGATCCCTGGCCGGTGAGCTAATTCATGCACGCTGCTTCCGCACTTCCACCCATAAAGCCAGGGAAATATTAATTTCCTCAAATGAAGCGCATCATTTGGAATCTGAATGGGGATTGATTAAACAGAGGAGGCAGCGACGGGTCGATATTTAGCACCCAGAGAGACCAGTGTGCAGGCGGGATCACAAAGCATATAACTAGCACAAAGTCAATACAGCATTATTAACAGCAACAAAAGAAAGTTGATCTTAATTATGTTGTATGCATTCCAAACACCACACAGACCAATACAAAAGACAGGATGAATATAATAAGTACATAAATGTATCTTAGCACTTCATCTTATTAGATTAACTCTTACTTACTACAGTATCATTATTATATTACTGATTGAACCTGGACATTCCATAAGTACTGCTTAGCTGTTCTAACTAGTCATTAACATTGAATAAAATAGCTAAATGACATCCTAATATTGTTTGCCCATCTTTGACATTGTGTACATATACTGGATTGATTACCAATGACTAAATGCAAAATACATTGTGGCCTGACTAATGATTCCATTTTTCCAAAGCAGAATTTGTTGAAAGAAATAAAAAATAGATATTAGAAATATTAGAATCCTGTTCCAATTTCTATGTATGTTTTTTTTCTCTCTCTCTCTCATTACTGTCCATTTCTAAACTTGTCAGTAAACCTTAAG